AGGGAACCGGATTTGTAATTCAGAGGATGAGGTATTCAGCCTTCCAACAGACACAACAGGGAGTGTTGTTAATAAAGAAATGTGGTTGATGGAGCATAATTGTGGACACAGAGATGGTTTGAAGTGTGGATACTTCAATGCTAGAAGTGTCAGAAATAAAGCGGATGAACTTAGAGCATGGGTCAGTACTTGGAACTACGATGTTGTGGCCATTTCAGAAACTTGGGTAACTCAGGAACAGGAATGGTTGTTGGAAGTTCCGGGATTTAGATGCTTTAAAAGAAATAGGGAGGGTGGAAAAAGAGGCAGGGGAGTGGCATTGCTAGTCAGGGCTAGTATAGCAGCTACTGAAAGGCAGTTCGAGAATGATATGTCTATAGAGTCAGTTTGGATTGAGGTCAGGAACAAGAAAGGAGCAGTCACTTTGTTGGAGGTTTTTTACAGACCCCCTAATAGTTGCAGAGAAGTGGAGGAGCGGATTGGGAGGCAGATACTGGAAAGGTGCAGAAGTCACAGGGTTGTAGTCATGGGTGACTTCAACTTTCCAAATATTGATTGGAAACTTTTTAGTTGTAATAGTTTAGATGGAATGGATTTTGTCCAGTGTGTTCAGGAAGGATTCCTGACACAGTACGTAGATAGACCAACACGAGGAGAGGCCACTTTGGATTTGGTGCTTGGCAATGAACCGGGCCAAGTGTTAGACCTGTTGGTAGGAGAGCATTTTGGCGGTAGCAATCATAACTGTGTTGCTTTTACAATAGTCATGGAAAAGGATAGGTACATACAGCAGGGTAAGGTTTATAATTGGGGGAAGGGTAATTACAACTCTGTTAGGCAAGAACTGGGTAACATAAAATGGGAACAGATGCTGTCAGGGAAGAGCACTGTTGAAATATGGAGATTGTTTAAGGAATGCATACTGCGTGTGCTCGATGTGTTTGTCCCTAGCAGGCAGGGAACATACGGTCGAGTGAGGGAGCCTTGGATCTCAAGAGAGGTCGAACGACTGGTTAAGAGGAAGAAGGATGCTTATATAAGGTTTAGGAAACAAGGAACGGAAAAGGCTCCAGAGGGATACAAGTTATCCAGGAAGGAGCTGAAGAAAGGGCTTAGGAGAGCTATAACTGGACATGAGAAAACCTTGGCAGATAGGATCAAGGAAAACTCCAAGGCTTTTTACATGTACGTGAGGAATAAGAGATGACCAGAGAAAGGGTAGGGCCGATCAAGGATTGTAAAGGGAATTTGTGCACGGAGCCTAAAGAGATAGGAGAGGTCCTTAATGAATACTTTTCTTCAGTATTCAAAACTGAAAGGGACCTAGTTGTAGAGGAGGACAGTGTGAAACAGGCTGATAGACTAGAGGAATTTGATGTTAGTAAGGAAGATGTCCTCGGAATTTTGAGGAACTTGAAGATAGATAAGTCCCCCAGGCCTGATGAGATTTATCCAAGGATTCTATGGGAAGCGAGGGAAGAGATCGCAGGGCCTTTGGCGATGATCTTTTCGTCCTCACTGTCCACGGGTATAGTGCCGGAAGATTGGAGAGAGGCAAACGTCATTCCCTTGTTCAAAAAAGGGAATAGGGATAACCCCGGAAATTACAGGCCAGTTAGTCTTACGTCAGTGGTAGGCAAATTATTGGAAAGGGCTCTGAGAGATAGGAGTTATGATCTCTTGGAAAGGCACAGTTTGATTCGTGATAGTCAGCATGGATTTGTGAGGGGTAGATCATGCCTCACAAACCTTATTGAATTCTTTGAAGAGGTGACCAAACACGTGGATGAAGGTATAGCAGTAGATGTGGTATACAGGGATTTAAGTAAGGTAGTTGATAAGGTTCCCCATGGTAGGCTCATGCAGAAGATAAGGAGGCATGGGATAGGCGGAAATGTGGCAGATTGGATTCAGAATTGGCTGACCCTTAGAAGACAAAGGGTGGTAGTGGACGGAAAATATTCAACATGGTGCTCAGTTATGAGTGATGTACCACAAGGATCTGTTCTGGGTCCTCTTCTATTTGTGATTTTTGTAAATGATTTGGATGAAGGAGTGGAAGGGTGGATTAGTAAGTTCGCGGACGATACGAAGGTGGGTCGAGTTGTGGACCGTGCGGAGGGCTGTTCTAGGTTACAAAGGGACATTGATAGGATGCAGAGCTGGGCTGAGAAGTGACAGATGGAGTTTAACCCTGAAAAGTGTGAGGTGATTCATTTTGGAAGGACAAACTTGAAAGCAGAATACAGGGTTAACGGAAAGATTCTTGGCAGTGTGGAGGAGCAGAGGGATCTTGGGGTTCATGTCCACAGTTCCCTGAAAGCTGCCACCAAAGTGGATAGAGTTGTTAAGAAGGCGTATGGTGTGTTAGCTTTCATTAATAGAGGGATTGAGTTCAAGAGCCGTTAAGTTATGCTCCAGCTATACAAAAGCCCGGTTCGGCCACATCTGGAGTATTGTGTCCAGTTCTGGTCGCCTCATTACAGGAAAGATGTGGAAGCGTTGGAAAAGGTGCAGAGGAGATTTACTAGGATGTTGCCTGGAATGGAGGGAAGGTCTTGCGAGTAAAGGTTGACAGAGCTAGGGCTTTTCTCTTTAGAATGACGAAGGATGAGAGGTGACTTGATAGAGGTGTACAAAATGATCAGAGGTATAGATAGAGTGGACAGCCAGAGACTTTATCCTAGGATGGCGGTAGCTATTATGAGGGGGCATAGTTTTAAAGTGAGTGGAGGTAGATATAGGGGAGACGTCAGAGGTAGGTTCTTTACGCAGGTCGGGACATGGAATGCATTGCCGAAGAGAGTAGTGGAGTCGGCCTCATTAGGGGCATTTAAGCGGCTATTAGATAGGCATATGGATGATAGTATAAGGTAGGGGTGGAGGTTAGATGGACCTTAGGATTAGGGTAAAAGTTCAGCACAACATCGTGGACCGAAGGGCCTGTACTGTGCTGTACTGTTCTATGTTCCGTGTTCTATGTTCTATCAGACCCAGCTGAATTCAACAGCTTCAACAAAGGCCAGAAAATCAAGTCTTCAATTTACTTCTCACAACCAAAATTAATATGCTACCGAGGGAAGTTCCAAATCAACATTCTCTTAGACCCGTCATTTTTCACAAAAGGTCTGTGGAGTGAACGATGATTTCTCCCTTTGGTATAATCTTCCTTGTCTCACCCCAAGTTGCCTTATGCTGCCATGCATTGACTTCAGTTTTGCATAGCGACATCTTCTCCATTGCAAACAGTCAGCAACAGATCCATTCTAAATGAATTGCAGCAATAACAACAATACAAGATCAGAAAGGTTATATAAAGGTGTTTGCAGTGGAAGACATAAATAGAAATTGTCAGTCACTTCAGGCACCTTCATTTGTCCTCTTCCTGAACCTAAAATGACTGACATATCCATGAATAAATCAAGATTGTTGTATTTTTCTGATACTCAGAAAATAAACAATTTATTTAGAATTGAATTCAGCATCAATTGCCAACTTTATAAATGCACATTGCTGGCAAGGTATTTCACCCACCAACTGTGTGTGTCATGGGCATTAAAACAACAAGGAAATTGATCAGTGCAAAACACAGCACAGCACCCACAAAGTTCGGGAATGTATAACTGGCATTTAACACATCTTTCCATTGTTTGCATGTGGATAATCAGCCTAAAATGATCCATTTTCATATTTTAGGAACAGTAAGAATTCATTGCACCCGGCAAGCATACTATTTTTTTCGGAACCCATCCCAAATTATTTGCCTTCTCGCCGTATTCCAAGACCTTTCTTTCAACAGAAGTACCTTCAAATATGAGATAGTAGGAACTGCAGATGCTGGAGAATCCGAGACAACAAGGTGCAGGGCTGGATGAACACAGCAGGCCAAGCAGCATCATAGGAGCAGAGAGGCTTTTTTGCAGGGCTGGATGAACACAGCAGTTCAAATATATTTTAGTTCTGGAATTACCTTCCTCTGAGCTGATGCCGCCTCTTCTTTAGGAAGCTAGTTGCAATCCCAGCAGTAGCCATTGCTCCCATTCGTATTAATCCTATGTCTATAGCCAGAAGGGCCATTCTCTTTCAGTAGATCTGAATTTAGAACAGTAGCTGATAGCAAGCTAACATTGATCATGTCATAGTTGCACTCAACATATTTAAGCTTATGGACAGTTCACTACAAGTTGTTGTTTTGGAGAATCCAAATTGCCACAATAAGTTGTCACTCTTCTCAGAACACTATACTCATACCTGTGGCAATACTACAATTGAAGTCTAGAAGTTTCTGTTGTTAACATTATTCAGTGTATCCCTATGAAATTCCTCTACCCACCATTTTAATGCAGTATTTTTCATTTGTTTCAAATGAGTGAATGTCTCTATTTAAATATTGAACAAAATACCGTGTAAGTATTTCAATTTTTTAGCGATTAACATTTGCGATTTTGGGATTCACATTTGCTGTGGGTACACATTTAAATTACTTCCGATACATTTTAATGTTTAAAGCATTTTAGCAAATTGTTTTGCAACATAGTAAGTAGTTTAGTGTCAAAATATTTGTGATAATGTTTCGAATCACTTGCATTTTGTTGGAAGAGATGTGGCCCCAGGCTAGGAGTATTTCTCCCTTACTATAAACTGCAGTCATATGTAAATAAATGAAGATGAAGCATAATTAGAATCTGTCGCCCAGAAAAGCACAAATTGTTCTTTTTTGTGAAATTACTTTTGTTCTTCTGGTGATAAAATGCATATTAGTAGGATGAGCAGGTGATTGTTTGACATTTGCTGATGGAATTATGAAAGTATTTCCTTGATAACTAAATATAAAAACGTATGTGTCAATGATTTGGGTAAAACTCAAATTAGGCAGAATCTTTCATCATTAAAGATGCTATTAGCAATTCAATAAGAATAATCAGTAACATAATATTCACAAATACCTAACATCAGCAAAGTAAGTGATTTTTTTTTATTAAATCAACTATAAGCAGAAATTATTTTCACACTGAGGAATTTTATTTTGTTATTTTCAAATTTTACATGATACTGATCCAACCAAATACATTCTGCACATCATTGTTTTTAAAGCAAATGAGTCCATTTAATTTACGTGAGTGTACCTAGCATAATCCAGACCTGTTGGCAGACTTTATTAATTTGCAACTCTGTTGCATGTGGTTGCGTCTTGCTCTACTTGAAACTGCGTGATGGTTTGGAGTACCGCGCCACTGCACTCTTGGGAAGGCTGGAGAAACCATTGATTGCATTGCCCTGCAAAAAAATCGAAAAGAGCTTCAAATTGGATTATAAATTATAAATAACTTATCTGAGATATGTAAGTTATAGAATGTTTATTCTTCTAAGATTAGAAGGGGTAAGAGATATTAGATTGGGGGTATTAATTGGAAGACTTTGATTCTATGAAGTTGACTGAAGGCAGTGACCAATAGTGTCCGTAAATCCTAGAGAGCTTGTTGGTTTTCCCTCTTTTTATTTTCTATCAGTATTATTCATTAATACAGGCTAGCAAGAGGTCAATCTAATAAACAGAAGGTCAACACATGCACCATCAGTGTATAGACATTTGTAGAGCAATAAAGTCATAAAAAAAATGTAACCCTGAGGGTGGGTGTCTTGAAAAGGGGAAAATTTATAGCAAACAAAGGTTTCTTTCTGTGCCCATTGAACCCACACAGTCAGTATCACAGAAATTGCTTCAGCCAATTCTATCCTTCCACAAGAAAATACCACAACAATGTAATACATTAGAATTGACTTTTAAAGTGAAACTTCACCTACTACGAGTTGTTTACAACAATAATGTATATTTTTATGTTATAATAAATTATAAAGTTTTCAGACTGGTATTGTTTTAAATGAATGTGCTAAACTAACTTTTGTTGAAATGAGAACTTAAACATAATTAGGTGAGCAACCTTAAAGCAACTAAACTTAAACTTGTTATTGATCATTCTTTTTAATGGTGACTATCATTAAAGTGTAAATTCTTATTTTAAGCCATCATGTTTCATCATGTCTAGCAAAAATATTGTCTAATTTATTTTCACAGTCTGGTAACTTCTATTAGTCTACCACAGCGATCTCCAGAAGCATAAGGGGAACAACTAGAAAGTAGTAAACTCTTGTTACATTGAATTTTTCTGGACAGATGGTAATGATTTCAGATTTTAGTGATTAACCTTTTGAGGGCTTCAGTTATATTTTTACACTGTATAAAATATAACAAGATAACAACATGCAAATATATTCAATAAATATATGATAAAAAAGAAATGTTCTGTGGTACAAGACATTTGTTTTGGTGTCTTCAAATAGTCAACATTAAAAATGCACAGAAGGATTTTAAGAGAATAGGGCATATTATTGAAAATAAATAAATTATTTGAAAAGGCTGTAAGAGAGCTGAAGCACTGGAAAATAAATGAATATAGTTGCACTATCACATGGTTATATTTGAAATCTGTTTCAAATCAAAATGGCTTTGAATTTGGAATAAAAACTTCATCAATGTCATCTAAGTAAATGTTTTAAGGTAATTCTTTTTCTGATTTTAGTAGCTAAAATTAAGATCTGATGTGTATTTTGTTAATTCTCTCAACCTGTGAGAAAACAAGGGTTTTATGTAAAAAAGAATGTAGAAAATAGCAGGAACTAATCTAATCTGAATTTTACACGATACTGAAAACACAAATATGTTATAAAACACTTTTTTATGGTCATCCAAATTTCAGATGAGATAAATTGTCATGAAATTTCTCCTGGATTTTTTTTGAAAATGTTATGTCTAAGAACAATATGTTTCAAAATATGTGATGGGTTCAATCAATTTTACATCAGGCTTTCTGTCTAGATGCCAGCTCTGTGTGTTCTCCGTTATTGATGCATTAGGATTCACAACGAAGAATTAATGATTTTGACATCATTACCTTGAACTGATGGAGTGATCGGGTGCGGTTGATTATAAGGATATTTTATTGTAATGTATGTGATATGTTCATCAAAGGCATTAATGATCCAAAGCTAATAGGTCTGTTGTATTTTGTTTACTACTCCACGTACAGTGATCTATGAACAGAACTTAAAGTCTAGTATTGAATTGTTTATCTTTCAGCATACTTAGCCAACCAATACATCTGCCTTTTTTCTGTTGACTCTGAATATTATCCTAATTTAGTATGTAAATAACTCAGTACCTAGTTTTTTTTTGTAATGCACTTCCTTATATGAGAGATTTATGCATGTTCAACAAATGAATCAATCTTCTCTTGCTTCTGACATTAAATTTCCATGTATTTTAAAAATATTTTCCGGCTTCTCTTCTTTTGGGGTTTCCTGGGCCACACCTCAATGCAGCCAAAAGTCTAGCAGGGTCCATAAACCCCTGCAAGTGTCACTTGAGCTGGTCACAAAATAGCCTGTGAAAATGACCAAGGGCTTCTGCTTCTAATTTCCCTGTTTCTCATTGATGGGTGGGCACTACACAGCCTCTGATTGTCCATTCTTCACATAAATGAGGTTGAGATTGGAAGCTCAGTAAATTGAGGATTCAGATTGTTATTAGTGACTATATTGTACTGTATGTTGATACTCCAAGTGTTACATGACCATAACACTTCGATTCACAGACTTGTCATTGTGGTATTGCTTAAATCTGTACAGATGTATTGCTTGTGCCTTGCTAGTTAACTTCAGTGAATTATTGTTGCTGTGATCTCTGACACTTCTTTTGTACTAAGATTTGTGTAATTGTCACGTGTATCATTGAAATCACCTTTAAATATCATATGCTTGCCAGCTTTAAACTACATCTTTCCTGTTCTTTCTTCCTTGATGTGACATGCACAATTTTTTTTCATAATTACCAGTGACATATGGTCTATGTTTGGTTCAGCAAACTATTGAATAATCCTAGAACAGACTAGTGAACTGATCATGCAGACTGAATTACATGAAACTCTTGCTTTGATTCTTCAAGCAGAGTCGCACACATGTGCATCTTGTGTCACACCTGTAAGCAATAGATAAAATCACTTGCTGCTATTAACTGACAGTTGTGCTGCATTTTTCCAAGCCAGTCCTGAAATGTTGGTGTTTAGTCCAGTTTATGTTCAAAAGAACTGACCCACATCACACAGCTTAGGCCTAGTCGTGAATGGCCTTAATTGATAGAACAGCATACTTTGTTACGAACCAAGCCTGGCATGTCAGTCACTGTTACAGCTTACAGATAGTTGACCTTAAGACTGGAAACTGTATTTTACAACAAGCAGTTTATTTGAGTGAGAAAGGCATTTAATTATCTGGAATAGTTAATCACAAATGAAGACTGTTCCTATGAATCTGAATTGTTACCATTCAGGTGACAACTAGTCATCCTTTAAAAGAGTGGTATGGTTCTATTTCAGCATTTTTGCTGTCTGTCAGTTAAATGGTTGAAAACTACAGTGCACCAAATTTAAAAATAACCTTTTTTTATTTCAAAATTGATGCAAATACACTAATAGATTGAGACCTGCCATCTTGTGAGTACTGATGTATGAACACTGGTAGTTAATGGCAGTGTCTGTCTCTACCAGCCTGCTTTGCCTCACCTACATGTAAACATTTCAGTTGAGAAAAAATAGCACTCACCAACTGCTACTGGGCAAAATGCTAATCTACTTTCCAATATCAGCTATAGTCTTTAAACTTTCTAAAATTGCACTTCCTTTTAAATAAAGATTTATGTTGTTCCTTTACCATTCTCTTTTTAATTAAATGAAGTTGCACCTTTTCTTCTAGGAGTGTCCAGGCTCTTCCTGTGCTATAGAATTAATGCACAGACTGACATGTTTTTAAAATTGCAGTTGAATCCATATAAACACATAACTAGTTTGCCTGTAAATGTTACACTTGCATCAGGATTATGCTTGGATCAGGATTTCTGTAAACCACAGATAAAAGTAGTCAATTTGCTAATCTTTGTGCCACAGCCCATTTAATCATTCATTTGGTAATTCACCATAAACAAAACAGAAAACAGTTAACAAAATCCTTTGTTTTACACAAAAGTAATTAGACTTTGAGAATGTGCTTCTGTCTCTGGATGAAACTTGACAATGGATTGACCAAATTTCATGTGCAGTACATTAAAAGCAGATAACTACAGGACATTGTATGCTTGGATCAGGATTTTGTAATTCACAGCTATTCTTGGATCAAGAATTCGACACAATGAGACTGAATAGGATGTGGTTTGTCAAATTGGAATTCTTTACTTATGATGCAGTTCTGCTTAAATAAGGTACTTGGAGTCAACTGTAAAACAAATTATTCATACAAAAGGTTCCAGTATCAAATGATCTGTGTGATCTTGTGAGACAGGTGGACTGAAATTGTGTGGACCTCAGTGGTCTCTCTCTCTCCACAACACTCTATATACCGTTGCAGAATTTCAGCTCCAAGAATGCCACAGGAGCAATTTGGTATTATACAATGACACTGTTCACGAAGTATGTTGTTATAGTTTGGATTAGCTTGTGTTCAGTCCTTGTGACAAGAAGCTCCTCCATTTTGTGTATCCTGAATTAACCTTATGGTTATGCCATCTTTCAAGACCATTTCAATTTTGGGGAGTTTGTTGTCCTATTTTTCAATAGCTTTTGGATTTTCACGTCACCAATATTGAACTAATTTTATGAATGTGTTTATCTGAGTATCAACATATTATTTAAATATGAATATTTCTCACTAAACAGAATTTTAGGTTTTTAGATTTGCTGTCTTTTACTAAAAATGTATATTTTAGATAAGCTACAAGTAAAGATATGATTCTTTTTATTAAAAAGTCACTGCTTGTCACCTGTATGTTATCAATCTGTTAATATTATGGCCTCATAGATGAGTTGATTCATATTCAAAACACAAAAAGTAACCATTTAATTGGAAAGGGATTTTCTCTATGAAATTTTAGCATTACACACAAGCTACAGCTGTTAATTGTAATTTTTTTACACCCATTCTAGGTACAGAACGACATGAACTAACTTCTTGGAAGAGTTTTAACTCTATTTTCAAGTATTTTACCCAAGCTTTAGAGGCACAGAACACTGAAGCAAAATCTAAGTCAACAGTGACAACAAGAAGCTCCCATCGAAAGAAAAGTGAAGAATTATGAAGCAAAATGTCATACTTCTGTTTTATTTTTGCGCTGGCAGTACCTCAGTCCCTCATTAGATTGTTTTCTTCTTGGAGCAAAGGGTCATGGTGTATACATCTGAATAGCATTTTGCATTATTTCTAGATGAGCGCAACTGTCAAAGCAATATGGGTCTGCCGGTTGTGTTTCCTGTGGTCCCGAGCTCAGATTTGGTGCCACCGATTGGTGTGCAGATCGAGAGTGACAGCAGTTCTGCACAGTGCAACACAGAGCGGCTCTAATTGCCCTGACACAGCCCTGCGTTAAGCTAATGCCATGGGGCTACTAGCTTCCCCTATGTCCTAACGCCTGCCAACTATTCTTCATTAAAAAGACAGCCTTTCTTTTGTCGCCCTATATACAGCAGCTTTTAAAATAGGCGAGAATCACAGTCAGTCAACAATTTCCTTTCACATACTCAAGTCTTGTCATAATTTTCAAGGGACTTCAAATGCATTTAAGTCGCTAAAGATGACAGTTGTTTTTGGTGATGCCAGCTGTCACTTTTTGTAACTGCTTAAAAAATAGCTTTGTATTATTGTATTATATGTTTGTTTTACAAGATAAACCGACAGTACTTTTTAAAGCTGGAGGATGTTTAAAGATACGTTGAGTAAATTTGATTCATTGTAAATTTCTGTCTGTTGGCCAACAAACTATAGCCATCTTTTTTTTAAAAAAAATATTAGATAAAGACATTAATCAGAAGGTATGTACCCAATATGTGATATGATCAATATATGTGTGCTAATCCCCAGAAATGACCAGCTGAGTTTTTAAAACCAGATTGAAGATTGGGCAGTACAATAATGGTGCCATCATAACATTGTTTTCTTAGAGCATTTAAAAACACATAACAAATAGTTGAAAGATCCCGGCAAATATTTTCTTTCTACGATGTTTGAACTTTTATAATGTCTTTTTTTTAGTTAGTTACTAAACAATTTATTTTAAAAGCACTTAACCTTTTTAATTCAAAATATATATTAGTTTCTTGAACTCATAAATGTGCATTGCTATCCTTGTTTTAAATAATATTTCATTGTCCATTTTAAATACGTCTCACTTTTGTAACAATTAGAAAGCAATTTTAATTCCTCAAATATCACAATAATTGTGAAATTACTATGAAAGGAAGTGACACTCAAATTGCAAAATACCAGAAAAATGTTAATGTTAATATTAGTTAGGTCCTGCTCGATCATCCTATGTGGAAGTTCATTTTACAGATTTACAGTTAGCTTGTTATTACTCAAGAGAAGTGATTCATTGGCTATGGAGTAGCTTGGGGATTCTGCTAAAATCTAGGACACAGGAATGGTAAAATTTGAGTAATGTGAAGTATGTTTTAGGACATGCTTTCAAAAATCCTTAGAGTAATTACTCATTATATTGTTTAATCATTAGTAAATTGGGACTTTTGTCATGCTTTAGAACATGACCTAATACAAAACAAAGAGTAGATTATTTAGAATATTCAAATTCCTGTTATTGCATAGACATAAATCAGAAGGACCACTAAAACGCTACACAAGAATTAAAATCTGTGCCTTTGATTTAATATTTACCAATATAAAGTTTGAGAAATACGAATTTGTGCAAAGCAGCATACAAAATGATTAATTCAAGTGATTTGTTCGAGTTTATAATGCGCCAGTACTCTGAATGGCTGGAAAGCTCGATTAGGTTATGTGAATAGGCAAAAGGGCCCAGGGGAAGCTTGTGGTCTCTCCTTTTGCGCATGTACAGCTCAGTCCCACAGAAGCAGGATAGGTGGTTTCCAGCTGGAGGTTTGATTGGAGTTTAAAGTCATTTGACATTTCCAGCACTTTCTGCAAAATGACACTGGTCCCTGCAGAACGTGTGCTTTATCACGCCATTCTTTAGATGTGCATAGAGTTTAAGTGTGAAAATTGCAAAATGAACTATGCTAACCCCAAATCGAGCATTTTAATTGACGGTGTTGACTCATCAATATATCTCCAAATATAACAAAAAAAGCTTCATTTTTTTTGTTATTTATTAGTCCAGGAAATGCAGGAATGGTCAATAAAATTTTTAGATTTAAATTGATTTGCATTCTAATCATCAAGGCGAAACTGAGAGAAAATTGTAACCTGTAATATAACCTTTAGCCAAATACTTTGTAAGACTTGATTTTTTTTTAAAGCAATGAAGGATGTAATAGTTACATTTTAAAAATCCGCTTCACTGTCGGGCCCCTTTCATATTGAGCGCTAAACGTTGCGCTTCTATTTGTAATCGCAAATGTAATTAGTCAGATTTTGAAATATTACAGGCTTACTTTTGAAAACTATCATAAATGAAAGAAATCACCTCGACACGCTGAAGGCTGAGGATGACTGACAGCTCTAAGTGAATAGGAGCTTTCCATGCAATTGTGAACCAGGGCAATGGGGGGAAATGTAAAGGAAAATGAATTTTCAAACCAAAAAAGCTTTAAAGCGGAGCTGTGATTTTTATTTGTGATAGTTTTGAAATCCATCTTATGAAACTGAGGCACTGAAATGAAAAGTTGCATTCTTCGTCGCAAAACTCAAACTCTGCATTTTATCAAGCTGTATCGATGACACAGATTTTAAAGCATTTTACTTTCCAATGACAATGTTTAAACAAGCTGAATCCTAATAAAGGTTTATTCTCCCTTTAGTTTCAGTGTCTTTGATGTCAGTGATGTTCATGTATTTTAAAAAAAAACTTTCGATCAGAAAACTGAGTAATTGGTTGATGTGAGACATGGCTCAATTCTTGAATAGAACATTCGAAATCATGGAAACTAAGAGGACAATACTCCTAAGATAACAAGTAAGAGTGAACACTATATATAACCACTTCAAGTGGTTAGTATCACTGCAGAATAATAATTATTTTCGTTTCTAACAAAGATATACCCTGAAATTCAAAGTGTGCTTGAAATCATAATCCTTTCAACAAAATCCCGAAACATTTTAACAATGATAAGGTGTGATTTTCCTTAATCCTCAAAAGGAACAACTAGGAAAGTGGCTTAGGAAAGTGAGTAAGTCTTCGGAGTTGAGACTTTTGCTGAATCTTGGTTTGGTAAGTTGGTTGGGATAATTCATATTGTCAGGTTATTTCCTGAGTCTGAGCAAAGTTAGTCATCTTGGATAGCAGACAGGATGCCAATATTCACACAAGTGTTGAAAAGAGCGGCTTCTTAATTTTGCCTTCAAATTAGTGACCTTTCGAGTCTTTGTGACATCCAGTAAACTAACCAGGCCCATCGTATGGCATACTTCACATGGAGGGAGATTGAGTCTGGAAGATGGAAGCAGAAGTAAGATCACCTGGACATTCAGTTATCTGAGCTCAGGATGAAAGGGGTTTGGCACTTTTACAGAGCATCATCAGATGGGATCATTGAAACGGAAGTTCATTCCACTCAATTATTTCTTAACGCCCAGCGTCTGGATTGTTTTTTTTTTCAAAACTTGTAATCCCTCTAGTCTTTTTTTGTTGCTACTGGGAACAAAGACTTGGAGTCCTTTCTTCGTTTTACCCTGGATAAAGAGGAAAATATCATTTTGGTTCCCTTTATCTTTTGCAGTGCCAGAAGTGTTCCCTTCGTTTCCATGAAATGTTAAAGTTGAACCATTGGAAATTGAGCCAAAATTAATATTTACTTCGAAGTGTATTAGATTTTAGGTTTCATATTCTTTGAAAGTGGTGACTTTGAAGGAATAAAGTATAGACTTAATATGTCCATAGATGAAAGATGATAAAATCACTTTCTCGTATTCAACACTGGGAAGAGCTAGTTGCTTTTGGTGGTCAGAATTTAATGGTCGTGTTTTTGTCCAGAATTCCTGGTTTTGCCTTAAATACAAGTAATGTTCTAAACATCTATAAATAACATAAACTTTCAATTTTGAAGTATACTCGAGTATCTCGCCCACTTATTTCCTACCAGTATAACGAGTCAGATGGAATGGACAAGCTTTTTCGCTTTTCTGGACTTGACACGCCCAAGGAAAACTGGGTTATCCACATGTGAACCTGAATCAAATTCCAGAATTAGTTTAACGAGCTTTGTTTCGTGACATAATCTCACAAGTACTACAAGCTTTTAATTGATAAGGGTGAATATAAAGAAAATATACTGTACACAAATGCTTAAACATTTGGATTTAAGCAGGGGGTCAGTTTTTGACGCAGCCTTGCAACACTTAATGGGAAATGGGAGCATCCATCGAGAGCAAATATAAGTCTTGACGTTTTTAATAGGTCTATAAAAGATGTCCACGTTACTTTCTCTATACCCGAAATTAAGCACTGATTATTGCAGGAAACAGTTTAGGATTAATTCCATCGCCCACAGATCTCTAACAGTATAACAGGCCTCAAGATTGGAGAAGCTTTGACCCTTATCAATATGCAATGACCTATGGGCCTGAAGCAGTATGTCAGAGTTCAATCACCTATATAAATATGAATTAATTTATAGCTAACAGTTTTTAGCTATATTTTCCACATTACTTTATGTATGATTTGGAATACATGCATGAGTGGTCTGCCCCTCTAAAAATGCTCTGAAAAGCTTGTATTTCCAGTCAATACTATTATGAAATTCCATTGTGTAATAATTTTAACTCATCCTGTCATGATGCATGGAGCAGCCTGGTGAAATCTGGTAGGCATCATGTCCGCTCTGTTAGAGTAAAATTACTGTCAATAACGGAAGATAGCAACATTTTTTAAAGTGTTCTAAATAATAAATATGCTCGCTAAACCTGCAAAGGACAGGTTGCATTTCGTTCTGTTGCTCTACTGTAGACATCTGCTGAACTGTTCTCAGGTGTTCATTTCTTTACCACAAAAAAGACCCAGATAAAACACATTGTGACCCCAAAATTGACACAGAAAGAAACGTCCTCTTTGGAATCTTTAACCCTGTACTAACAAAGCAAAACAAATAACTAACGGCTAATATAAATGAACTTCTTGAATGATATCGGATTAACAAATTGTGCAGCACACTTTGAAATTCAGATTACATCCATATACAGCGTTCAGTTTATGAATAATGTTCGAGTAATAAATTGTATGTTATTCGTTACTTTGAACATCAATAAGGTATGATCCATAGGTCCATATCACTTGTTGAAAGTTGTTAAGGATTGAAAGTTTCTTTGTGATAGTTAAGGAAAATTCAAAATGAATTTGTGTTAGTTCTGTGCCACCTTTAATAAGGAGAATAATAAAAGATGGTAGCGCTCGTGTCTTGTGCTGGTGAAAAATCCCCGACGTGAATATTATCAAGGTTATTATTACATGGTGAACAGATTGTAGATGGAGCTTTCTTTTTGGAAGAACACTGATGAACCCGCTCCAATAAACAATCGGAACAGTTAAAACACACAAAAATATAGATTAATGCTCAACGAATTGATTGACAGGCGCTACTGAAGCGCACACTAGAAGTTCTGGTAGATCTTCCAATACCAATTACCCCATACGTCTGACTGCTACTAACATTAACTTGTGATTTTAGCATAGGTTTAGAGGCAAAAGCTTCACCTTTAAGATTCAACCTTTTTGGATGCTAGCACTCTTCATGTTTGTGAGTTTATTCACTAGATCAGTGACAGCTCTTTATTTGCATAATTATATGCTATAGTCTGAAGTGAAAACTAACCTCCAAATTTCATGGGTCACCAAGCTGCAACAATCAATGTTTTATCACGTATGCTAAGGAAAATCTAAGAAGCTCTATAAAGTTTCTTGGGGATTTGTTTTTTTTTCTGTCTCGGAGAGAAAAAAAGAATATGTGTGTCTCTTCAAGAGATGTAGAAACCTTTACATCGCTTCTTAGTAACTGAAATCTATTAGTCGATAATAATAGAGATTAAAATGTACGTGGGGATTTCAGTTCTTTTGCTATTACTTCAAAGTAGTTCCGTAAAATACGATTCGTAGAATAAAATAGCAGTTCTAACCAGATGCAATCTGTTTACATGTGTCATTTCGTACAAACCAATGTGATGATTAATCTTAACTACATATGCACTTTATAATGAAATAGCTGTATAATTATTACACCAGGCTCATGTCCATATTTATTTTCGAATCAATCTCAGAATGTTATTTATATAACAATTTTAACAGTATATTCGTTTACCACCATGTTTAACTATTTATAAAACTACGAAATTATTAATTGATATTGACTATATACTTCGTTTAATGTTTCAATTTTAGATGAATAATTTCTTTCCATATGCTCCCTATTGAGTACATCTCCCTACAATCGTTCCTATTGTTTTCTTTTACAACTCTGAAAGAATTCTCTTTTTAAATAGAGAAAATGTTAAAACATATCATTTTAGATATGCAACGTTTTTTTAAAAAAAAGTCTGTATCAATTTTTAAACTTGCTTGTTTCTGATCCACGACTGAAAATGTATGCTGTGTCTTTTCAAATTAATAAGATGTGGCATTACAAAAGTAAAGTACAAAACATTGTTTGTAATAATTATGAATTAGCCAAACTTTATTCCCCACCCCATCTCTAAACATCATCGCTATTAGTTCTTAAAATAAAACTATTATAACTACATATTACGAGCACTGACTTTCCGTATTTTGACCCTTTCAAATCGTTTGCCAGAGTTCGTCTACGTTATTTCTGGTTTGGTATCAGTTTATTGATAGTCTTTCTTTACACCCACGCCAAGTAGCTGTGCGCCTCTCTGGTACACGGTTTTGAGGTGTCACTGAACTTCTGTATTTTTAACTCCCATTTATTTCAAACTTAATTTGGATCTGAGCTCAAATTTTAACTTTTTGGCGACATTTCAGAATAGCTCAGCAGGATATTTGTCCTGAAATTGATCAACAGCTCAAATGCCCTCTTTCCGTTTGGGCCACCCTGATCAACCTTATTCCGCGGTGAATATTTGATCAACAGCTGTTCTCAGTCTTATTGACATATCAGCAGCCGACTAATTTAGGTTCGTTTTAAAAAGGGCTACGCCTGTTGTATGTTGTATATGGAAAAGATCCTGAAATGTACTGTACTGTATCAAAATACCCGCTTGTATGGAAAATATATTGTCAATATTAAACTATTTCAAAAAACCGGTTGATTGCCCTACTTTAATAGGGCAAATCTGTTTAGAACCTTGATATTGCTAACATTTATATTGGGAAAACTCACATTCGTACACAGGGTACTGCGCAATGTTGGATAGAAATGTTCCTGTAATGCATTTATTTGGTTCTGAGGAAATCTTAGTCATTATAGAATGTAACATTGCAGTATTAGCCAAAGGGCATCTGTTGGTTATTTGCTGCTATGCAGGTGCACCTGTCTCCTAAAAAAATGTTTTCTGCAAACTAGCGTTCTCTGTCCTCTCCTCCGCCCACATCCCGTCTTATCTTTCCTAGAATTCATGTGTTTGCTCTTCTTTTGCACGACTGAAGGCCAGACTTGCTTCATAACACCACTACTACCTTCTTTCTTTCCATAAGCCGGCTCAGCTCCCATCTAAGTGAGAAGTTTTTGTCTCGGTGCCAGTACTCAGACATATCTGCACAGCTTCTAGTTTGTTACGACTGTACTGAATCTGTTTTCAGGTCGGTTTTCCCGCGCGCTCAAAGCAGAGTAAAAGTTCCACGAGGCATTTGATTTGCTCTGCACGAACTTGTTAATTCTATTAAATAGATTGAAACATTAACAAATCGTTAAAGTAGATTTCGAAGAATCACAAATGCCAGTAATAATGGTTTTAATGTCGAGCGTTTTCCAACCTGGTTTCTTGCTAAATTCTCGCAAAATAAGTTGCATTCGCTCTTATGTTTAGAGTATTTCACACCAAACTTACAAATACAATGAAAATGATCCAACGATCGTCTCCTCCAGGGTCAAGGTTGATGTCAACTCAACTCATTCCAACTTCCGTCAAATAGTTCTGGATCTACTCATTGATTTCCTGCGGACTACTGGGCCTGAACTTTCAAACTAGAATTAAATAAATCGACGTCTTGTTCAACTCACAGTGGCCCCTGAATAAAACATAAGTTAAACACCCACGAGTCCATATAATTTTGGTGCACAGGTGCTATTGTCCACAAAGAACTAATCTTGAAACTCAACTACTGGGGATCTTTTTTTTGAAAAGCAACTTTATCAGAGGTACACGACGACTGCACAAAAAGACCTCTGAGTGCTTTTGTACTCGTTATGAGCGTTGGAAATTTAATGCGAAAACAATGGAAGGCGATGAAGATTCAGAACTACGTAGTTCAATAAGGTTTCATTCGACTCTTGTACCTCATTGTTCATGAACTCGGTTACTTGCATCCATATTATTAATCAATGGATTTACTTTACTAAGCTCCAGCGCATTTGAAGTGGACATTACTTGTAGAAACACAATTGAATGCAATTTTAAGTTTTCCCTTATGATTGTCATCTCTGCTTATGTGCATTGTTTTAGTTATACAGCCGACATCAGCTTATAGAGACATTCCACAGTGAGTGCACTTACTCAAATATTTAGAGCGATGATCAAGGTATCAAGTAATGATTTAAGAAAAATACCTTGAAACATTTAACATTAGACGAAATATAGATGCTATAGGTGAGTAAAGCACCAAATTGCACTCTCTACATTTGTATGTGCTGAAATTACAGAAAGTGATTCAATTATTATATGTGAGAGCGATCTCTAGTCCTAGGGTATCTTGCTTCGCATGGACATTTCGTGCGCCAAGTTTTTGTCGTTTTCAATAGACAAGTTGAAATAAATCAATTTCTACAGTGCAGAAATGGGTATATTATCTGTACTTATATTAGCTGCGCTATTTGCTATTTGTTCCATCCATTGCATTTGGCTATTTATTTGTCTGTTATATTACAGAATTTATACAGAACATAACCTGTGAAATATAAATTGTATTGCACTCGTAAAAAATGTGCAAACCGCAAAGTGTTGCTACAACTAATTAGTGTGGTTTAAATCAAAGTTAACACGTTAATACATCCTCACATGCAA